CTCATGCACGTAATCCTATCGGCTGCAGCAGAGCTGCTTGGAGCCAGGTAACCACATCTGGGTACCCCATAAAATGCTGATGGTTTAACTGAAGTCACCCACCATCTTAAATCACCCATCACTTCTATAAACCGTTTCTTAAAATATTTTCAGAACTTTTTAAAGTGTAGTATTTAGTAACATTACGGACTAAAGCTAGCTCTTGCCTGCCAATACTCATTTCCAGCTCAGCAGCAAAGCAGCATTTCATATGTGGTACAGCAGCAGGTCCATCATTAAGCCACAATAATTTATGGAAATCCTGCCATCAGCTCATTTCGTGGAAATTAATTTAATTCATTACCAATACAGCAGTTCCTTCCCACTCAGAGCTGTTTTGCTTTGACATTTGACAAGCACAGCCTTCACGTAAAGTCCAAAGACTACATCAAGATAACAACTAACTCCAACGATGCAAAACACATCTCCCTTTAATTGTTGGCATGGTAGATAACAGTAAGGTGATCAGGAAGCGGCCCAAAACCCCCTGAACTCCCAAAAGAATAAAGGATAATAGTAGCCACACCACTTCCAATCTTCAGCCTTCTCACATGGATCAGCTCGCAGTGCGCTTGTACGATTGCATGGCTTTCCCCTGAGCATCACAAGGATGTGGAAGGCTTCTCCTAGCCCTGCACTTTGTAGCACGATGTTCCTCAATGAACTCTTTGGACAATTCTCTACTTTACCAGCACTACCACTTGGCTCATGGGGGGCTCAATGCACAGCACCAAAGCCAACACAAATCACCTCCAATCAGCAGCTCAGAGCTCAGCTCCTCAATCAACCCAGCGTGGCTGGGACTGCTAGCCCCCAGCTTGGGCACCATCCCCTGGGAACCTCCAGCACACGGAGGGTTCATGTGTATTCCCTCATTTATGATGAGGAATTCTGTCAGCATATACCCAAGATCCAGAAGGTATTCTAAAGTGGAGTGCAATGATGGTACAGCAGCAGTACCTGGAGTGCCCTGGCAACGGGGCTGTCCTATCCATGCAGCATGAAAAGCCAGAGGAAGCAGAAAAGCCCCCCTGCTGATGGCTGTTCTGGGTATCGTTGATTCCTTAGCGCAGATTTCGGCTGTTTGTAGTGGAGGGGGATGCTGTGAATGTAACGCTGTGGAAGAGTAATTTGAAGATAACATTCCTGCAAGTTGTGTTTTCTTTTAAAATCCAAATAGCCTACTCTGCTCTATTTGATATACAAACTATCATCCCAGCTTGAAACTTTCTAAGATTAATTACCATGAGCGAGTGTTATAGAATAAGATTTTTCCTTCCCCCACCTATGTAAGTTTTCACTGAACTCCCTTGAAATGTTTAAATTTAGCTCTCCAGCAGCAAAGAAGCATCTAAATGGCTTTTAAAATTCTGAACAGGAATGGAGCAGTAGCTCTCTCTGCTCCTAAAGCATCCTTATCACTGGGACCGTGTGACCCCAGAGCCCACATCCCTGCAGGTCCCAGCTCCTTGGTGGCTGCTGGGAGCCCCCAGATTGATCATAGCTGTGGGCAGGAGCCCAGAACATGCAGGTAGAATTAAGCCTGGCTGTGGGTGCAGAATCACATTCCTGAACCTAAATACCCAGCTTAGTGTGGGAGCAGCTCATAAAAACCACAGCATGGCCTGGGTTGCACAGGAGCAAAGTGCTCACCCAGCTCCAACCCCTGCTGTGTGCAGGTCGCCAACCAGCAGCCCAGGCTGCCCAGAGCCACATCCAGCCTGGCCTTGAATGCCTGCAGGGATGGGGCATCCACAGCCTCCTTGGGCAACCTGTGCCAGTGCCTCACCACCCTCTGGCTGAAAAACTTCCTCCTCATATCCAACCCAAACCTCCCCTGTCTCAGTTTAAAACCATTCCCCTTTTCCTGTCACCACCCACCCTCACAAACAGCCGTTCCCCTCCTGTTTATACACAACCTTCAAGCACTGGAAGGACACCATGAGGTCTCCATGGAGCCTTCTCTTCTCCAAGCTGAACAATCCCAGTTTCCTCAACCCTTCCTCATAGGAGAGCTGCTCAGCCCTCTGACCATCAGCTCCTGCAGGGCATGGAGCCCTGGGCAGCTCCTGCAGCTCCATGTCACCAAGAAGAACCCAGGGCTGCACTACTGTTGCATCTAAACCAGGAGGAGGGAAGGGCAGAAAGGGAACATTTCTAGTGCCTCCGCTGCCAGCATGAAAACTGGATTAAGTCTTTCTTGCTAACATAGCTGAAATAAATTCAAAAAAATAAGTGCTCCCACATCTGGTTACAGCTCTCCCAAGGGACTGATTTCCAAGATCGCAACAGGGAGGAGGCGGTGCGGAGCTGTCTTCCTACATCTGCTCAAGGAAGTGTTCTTAAATGCCTTCAGATTTGTTCGGGTTTTTTTTTTGTTTGGTTGGTTTTTTGTTTGTTTGTTTCCCCTTCTGCTCATATGTAACCCACAGTGAGGACGGGATGGAGAAGTCTCTTCTGGCTTATATACCATGGATGACATTGTGTTTCCTTTCATAACTGCGTTTTGACCCTCTGTGCATTTCCACTCTCAGGAGCAGCAATCCAGCACTGCTCATGTACCCCCCTCGCCCTGGTCCTGCAGGGCACGCAGGCAGACAGTCTGGCTCCAGCCATGCCTTCACATCACACCCAGCAGCACTCAGTCACTGCTCTTCTCTGCATCGCCCACCACAGAGCTTTGCTCCTCATTTGCTTGAAAATGAGAAAGTGGTAAAAGGAAAAAATCCTGGACCAAATAATAAGGCATGTTATTGAGCAAAATAGCAGGTATGAAGAGTGGAAATGCTACCAACAGGCTAACAACCTCCCACCAAGGAGCAGAGCTGCTGCCCCAGCTGCCAGAGCCTGCAGAGGCTGTGACTTCCACACGTCCAGTGGAAGAACACAAGAAGCACATGGAGAAGTGGGAGGGGAACCACAGCAGTGTAGAGAAGTTGAGCTCCTGGTGGGCACCAAGCTGACCATGGCTAGCAGTGTGCCCAGTGGGCAACAGCACACAGAGCCCAACAGCAGGTGTGGGAGGGACCCTGAGGGCACAGCACAACCCTGCTGGGCTGCCCAGTGCAGGAGGTTGGGGCTCGCTGAGAAGCCCAGGGCAGGGACACAGAGATGGGGGAGGGAAAGGAGCAGCTCTGCTGTGAGGAGATGCTGAGAGTTGGGATTGCACATGGGTTCTTCCCAGCCTCAAATTTGACTTCCATTCTATGAAACCCTCACATATAATTGACTACAGAGACCCTTTGGAATAGTTCTGAGTTAGCTTTCCAATTGCTTATTACTAAGGCACATGCCCATGATTCAGTTATAAAAATTCCTGATGTTCCAATTACTGGTGTTCAACATGACTTGTAGTTCACATTCCCTCTTCTGAACAAAAAAATAGTTAATAAATGTTAATTAATAAGGTACTTCACCTACACCACCTGAAGAGAAAGCCATCTATCAGTGCTGCCACTAGCTGAAAATCCATACAAGAATAATAGAAGCATGCAAAAAGAGAACTGCCTCTGTTCTATAAGGAATGAGCCACAAAGCAGTAAGTATTTAAGAAGTCTTGCAGAAATCTGCAGCAAAAATGGAAAACAGATTAAGTTTCCCAAAGTGTTCCACTACCTAAATATCTCCTCTGGTGTTATGGCTTCCAGTTAGTGCTTAATATATCATTAACATCTCTATGGGGTTCTGGAAAATAGGGAAATATTGCCGCCCAGAGAAGTGCTCAAATCCACACTGCATCCATGAAACAACGAAACTCTCAATTTAACCATCATTCCTGTCACATAACCAGCAGCTGCAAAACACAAACTCAGTGCATAAACAGCTTCAGCCCTGGCAATATGTAGATACAGATATGTCACTGAACATTGACTGGCATTTCCTAATGCCTTTATGATGTTTCCACGGAAGAGGCACCACTGGGGATCCCCACAGTACAGCAGTATCTCTGCTGCCATCCACCTTCTCCACCACCACCTGCAGCCGGTCTCTGCTCCTGCCATGCGCACAGCGCAGACCCTACAGACGGCTGCTGGAGGAGCAGCGTTGCTCCGGCCCCTTTCTCATCTATAAGCACAGTGAGAACGTCTGGGCAGCCCCTGCAGCTCTCTGTGGGCAGAGGAGAGCTGTGCTGGTGATCCCTGCTGCCTTCATTAGGGCCAAGACAAGCCCTGCAGAAGCCAGCAGGGTCTGCACGAACCCTTTGGCTTTCATAACTGCCTTGTTGCTCCAGCATGCAAAGCCAGCCCTCCGAGTTCATGACATACCCTGGCTAAGCACAGGTTTATTAGCTGACCCCCACTTATCTTCGGGACAAACTTCCACTACAGTTGATGGCTGTGGGTATTAATTCTGCCTATCCATTTCGGTGAGGGCTCCCCTTGTCCCAGGCAATGCCCTGCACACACAGCCCAGCCCCAACTGGTGGCAGTGGAGCCCAGAGCTGCACACCCATGGCCAGCAGGGAGCACCCAGCAGGTAAAGAGCAAAGAGCCCAGGTTACCTGCAGGGCAGGACAGCCTCGCTGCTCAGAACCTGCTTATAAAGCCTAACATCTAGCCTGTCCTTCCTTCCCATCTCCTGCAAAGCAGCCCCGGTGCAACACTGAATTTGTTAGAGGCCGTTGGTGCTCTGATAATGAAGCCACAATCCTTTTAAAAAACACACCTTAAAACAATTCATCCTAACCTCGCTGATAAACTCTGAGCTGAGCAGGAGTCAAAGTTAATTATTCTTTTAAGAGCAGATTTTCCTGCATGAGCTCCAGATTATCTCCACCATCCCCACACAGATTTTTGATGATATTAATGAACCTCAGAGTCAGGCTGTGGCATCAGCTTGCTCAGCCCAGCTGCGTGCAGTGGGGGAAGCTATCAGAAGATTATATATGAGGAAATATGGTAGAGATCTTGTTGTCAATCTCAGAGGCATTAAATCAAGTTCAAAGGAGAACATTAAAATTCATGCAGTCTAAAATGCAAATCAGTGTACATGTAACTACTGCAGTAAAACTTTTAATAGCTTAAGGTAGATGCCATAAAAAACGACACGAGTGAAATGTATTTATCTGTTCTACCTTTGATGTGCAGTCCCTCATTTGACAATTCTGAGTATTTCCTCTTGTATCAGAAGGATAATAATTTAAGCTAATTTCTTGCAAGGCATTTTGGTTAAAATGAAGATCCAGGAAGAACTGCAGTGGAAAAAGCTTTCAATGGAGTTTTCATAAAGAAAAATCAACATTATTCCCATGTTTTCTCTTGAAAAATCCAATTTGTTTCCTGACAGCTGGGATGTAAGTGGTGTTTAATGACTCCAGCCCTTCCCTTGCTTTCTGACTGCTGAACACAGAGTTACCTCCAATCTTTGTCAGTAGAACTCTGGGTTTTGCCTGGTGGCTGCAACTGCCATAACTCAGAGTGCTGACACCCAGCCTATCCAGACCTCTGCAGCTGCTCCACTCTTCCAAAATCCTCGGAGAAAGGAAACTCCACAGGGTTTTCAGGTGCACATCACGTGCCACCACTCCATCAACAAGCCAGAAAATTATTCTGACCTTTCCTCATCCACAACAATCTCTAAGCCTCCTATCATCACTGCTGTTTTATAATTCTCTCTCTTTCTTTCTAAAGTAGCCCCGCTCCAAAATTAGATGCAGCATGCTAAGATTAAGCTATATTAGGACCTTCTAATAATACTCCCATCTTTGTAGAGCTCTTCTATTAATACCTCCCCAAATAAGGGCATTTTTGGTTCAGATTTGCTGAGTTCTGTCAGCCTCCATTTCCATCCCATCACAAAATAGGGTTGAAGATGCACTGGAGCACCTGCAGCAAGATCTGGAACTTCTGCCTGTGCACCAGGCAGGAATCCAGGATGAGAAGCAGCCACCTGTGCAGCTTCATAGCCCTTCCTATAGGAGTTGGAAGCTTTCACTTTACTCCACGAATCCCCAGGGATACCTGTAGATGCCTTTGGGATCCCAATGGAAACAGGAGAGACTTTGAGCCTTCCCAGGTGAAGGTAAACCTGGTGGGACTCCAGGGCAGCGCTTGGAGCACCAAGTTCCCATCAGCAGGCTCTGTTTTCCTTCCTAACATCAAAGTTACAACTATGACAATAATTAAGACCCGAATCAAGCCAACAGCCTGCCAGAAGTGAAGCCTCTTGCCCCAGGATGTAAATTTGCCACTTTGACACGACTTTGGCAGTTCTGCCTCTGTAGGTTTGATTACAGGCTGCGGGAGCTGGCAGATGTTACCTTCCCTACAGGAGGGCTCAGCCACTGTGCCTGGAATGCTGAGCCATATGCTCAGCTCAGATGCAGGCAGCATCCACGTGACTGCTATCAGGAAGGAGGCATGAGATCCACATGCAGATTTAAAAAAAAAAAAAGGGGGAAAAAAATAAGAGAAGCTCTCAGGAGAAGCTCAGCAAGAGCCCTGCATGCAGCTGGGAAACAGGCAGTGCTCAACGCCATCTCTGAGCTGTTAACAACATGGCACCCTCCACAGCACAAACCAGCGCTCAGGAGCACCAGCTGGACAATTTTTCTGGCAAATAATCTCATTAGTTAATTTTTCCTGAACAACTTAATGAGCAAAAGATAAGGGGAAAAAAAAAGTGCCTTTTGAAATTAATTCCCACTCCTGAGATCTCTCTTCATGCGAGAGGCGGCCGTGGCTCAAGAAGAAGTGGCCCAGGCACATTGCTGAGCTCCCTCCCAGGGCCTGCTAAGTGGCACTGCCTCGTTAGCAGCACCTCACAGAGCTCCAATGAGTGCCCCATGGCTGGGCTGGGCTCAGGGCCCTCTGCCTCCCTGCTGCCCCACTGCCAGCCCCACACCACACACAGAGCCTATGGGAGAGGGCTCCAGGAGTAAATCCTTGGAAGAAATCCTCTTCCAAATTGGTGTTTCAGCCTTTTTCCCTAAAAACACAGGATATAGAATCATAGAATTACAAGGTTGGAAAGGACCTACATCATCTAACCCAACCTACTGCATCCCATTGTATCAGTGGATACTGCAAGCGTTTCCTTTGCCTTTGTTCCTTATTTTATACCATTACTCTGACAAATTCTCTGTGAAGGGAGTGTTCTCTAATGGAGTGGGTGAGATTACACAATGACAGCCTATCCAGCCCAGACCCATTTATTTCTTCACATAGGGAGGCCCTTCTTATGCACCCCATTTCTGAGCACACAGCCTGGCCCATAGCACTGCTTGTCAGGAGTGGAGACAGCAATGCCTCGAATCTCTGCGAGTATCAGGGCTTTAAATTCAGCTTTAGAGATTTCCCACCTGCTGCAGTCTCTTCAGGCAAGTATTGAGAACTTCCCACCTGGCCCAGGGTGCTGCTGTTCCTCCCAGATCAAATCTGACTCGCTTGGGTGCTCCAAACCCAGGGAGATAGGCAAGCTGCAAAGAACAGCCATGCTCAGTGCTTCTGGTATTTGAGATGACTGAAGTAAAAGGCTCAACATCACAGCCCCTATGATCCAATGGGAGCAGCAGTGCTCCTTCCCAAGGGTGCTCTGCTGCAATCCAATCACTACTTACCTCACCAAGGACTTTCTATCTTCACTTTTCCCCCCCCTCCTCCATTTCTGTCTCCATTCCCCCTCCTCCTCCCCCAAAAATATACATCATATTAAAAAAAAAATTGAATTCTGAAACTGGCAAGATGGACAAAACCCATATAAACACAGAAACACGTTACAGCAGCTCAGAAGATTACAGTCTCCCTCACATCTGTGCAGAGTCCTCTCATTGCTATTCCCATTCCTGCAGTACCAGAATGATCACCACAGACAGAGTGCTTTCCTAACTGCAATTCATTTATCACTACCACAGCAGTACATCACTAAAATCATTATTGTATAACACAGATGGACAGAATCTTTGGAAGATTTTACCCAAGAGAGGCTGGAGTGCTGTGAGCTGAGCAGCCAGGGAGTGCAGGGAGGCATTGCTGGGACCAGCAGCACTGAGCAGGGCAGCTGGAGATGCTCTGTGATCCAAGGAGCTGTTGGAGAGGGTCCAGAGGAGGGCCACAAAGATGATCAGAGGGCTGGAGCACCTCACCTATGAGGACAGGCTGAGGGAGCTGGGCTTGTTCAGTCAGCATGAGGGATGCCCTGGGAACCAGCGCGTACAGGCTGGCACCAGCACCCTGTGGTGAGGAGGGTACCTTGGCAAACCTTCCCTGGGCTGCACAAGGACCGTGACAGCGCAGCTACACCCATCCTGCCATGCCAGGCTCTAATGCAGCAACAGAGCTGGGTCATAACCCAGCTGAGGCACAGCTCTGCACACAGGGCAGCACATCTCACCCTATCACTGTCACTTGGAAGAAGAAGCCAACCCCCAGCTCCCCACCAGCTCCTCGCACGGAGCTGCAGAGAGCAATGAAGTTTCCCCTGAACCTCCATGCAAAAGTAATTCAATCATCCTCAGCCTTAATGACTGTGGTGCTTCAGCTTCCGTTGTCCAGAAAGCAGCTTTCACCTTCAAAGTATTTCTCTGGCACCTCCATACACACATCCTTGTTTTTCAGTGCATAATGCATCTGTACACACCCCTCCCCCACAGCATATACTTACATTTCTGTAACCATACTACATAAAATAGTTAATTATATTTTAATTGACCACAGTAGATAAAGCCAGGAGCAACATGCATACTGTGCTCATTTTTAGCCAGGAAAAGAAAAAAAAAAAGGAAAAACAGCCATTCCAGTTCTTCTGAGAACAGTGGAAAGGTTAAACACAGCCATTTCACATTCTTCACATGTATCATACTTGTTTTTTATTGCTATTTTTTATCCATCTTTGCCCACTGGCAATCTGCTCCTGAACTCATGCAAAAATGCCTAAATAACAGCATTTAAAAGATATCTTCATGAGATCCATAGAGCATTTTTCATTCCTTTGCTAAGCCCACCCGTTGCAGATTTAAGCTATCCCCTAATGAATTTGAAAATTAATACACAGATCCAGCCACCAGCTCGGCTGCAGCACTGCAGTAATTCTGCCAATTTAATGTCTGCCACTCCATGCAATAAACGTCAGGGGAAACGACTTCCACACAGCTTCTGAGACCATGACTGAGCTGAACCAGGGCTTCACTCTGCCCACCCAAACTAAGCATCATGGCTTGACAAGGAGCGGCTCAAGGGGTGAAAGAGGAGCCAAACACGAGGATTTCTTCCCTGGGTTTCTGTCCTATAGAAATACACGTCTTTGAGATCAGGAGATAGCCTTACAGATCCTTAAATCTGAAGCCACTCATAGGGAGATGGAATCCTGGTACCGTAGGGCTTCCCAGGTTGGAAGGGTTCAGTGAGGATCACCGTGTGCATCTCCTGACTTCCCTGCACTGTAACCTCAGCAGCACCAACACATCTCTCAGCTGCAGCACGGGCCACAGGGTCCTCCTGGAAGGCACAGAAGCAATTACATGCAATGGATGCCCTAGACTTCTGTTAGTTCCTATGAAAAGATATCCAGCAGCAGCTGAGTATCTGAGGGGCTTCAAGATCAGGGAGGGCAGATTTAGGTTAGATATAAGGAAAAAGTCTTCTATAGTGAGGATGGTGAGGCACTGGTTGCCCAGTGATGTGGTTGATGCCCCATCTCTGGAGACATCAAAGACAAGGCTGGATCAGACACAGGGCAACCTGATGGGGCTGTGGTGTCCCTGTGCATCGCAGGGGAGTTGGACTAGACGGCCTTTAAAGATCCCTTCCAGCCCCAAGGATTTTATTATTTGATCCCATGTGTAAAAGGAAATCACAACACCTCACTAAGGGAGATGGACTCAGACTTCCAGAACTCCACACCCCCCAGTGTGCCATAAAGGCTGAGCAGACAGCATTTCCCCCCCATGCATTCCTCATCCTGCCTGTCTCAGGCACAACAGTAGGGATAGTGCTGCTGCCTGGAAATGCAGACACAGGAAAACACCGGGGTGAATTGCTGCTGAGCTGAAGAGTAACACAGGAACAAACACAAAACCAAAAATAAAAGTTCTCCCATTCTCAATCTAAAAACACAGATCACATTGAAGCAATCAAGGGGAAATTGTAACAGCGTGACATTCCAAAGCAGAAAGCAACAGCTCTCAGAAGAGCACCAAACAAGATGACCCTTAAGGCACCTTCCCACCTAAGCCTTTCTGTGATTCTAAAAGGCTCACCTGCAGCAGCCAAGCATAAGGGTCCTCAGGGCTGCATGCCATGCAGTGCAGGACGGCTCCAGCTGTTCTCACATCAATTAAAGGAGCTGCAAACCGAGCTCTGTTGCTCTCCAACACTCAATTCTCCAACCCAAGGACTGCTCCTGCCCCCAGAGGGAAGTAAACAGCCCCAGCAATTGCACACAGTTGTGTCAAGTGCAGAGCCTGCTGGTTCCTCCCAGCCTTTGGGCTTGGTGGCTTCATCAGTGTGAGCAGCTCAGTTGGAGTCAGACTGTTTTGTGCATTACCTTTTAGAGTGCTTTACCCACTGGGTCTGTGGGATGGCACGCATGTACATACATATGTGTGCATGTATGCACCACGCAGCACTGCACCATGTATGCCCACAGCGTGGTGTAAACTGCCCATCTTTCTCCTCTCCTCCCATCTGCAGCCCTACTGAGCTCACAGCCATTTTTCTGAAGACAGCTGAAGTGTTCTATTCATTTTACTCATCTTTTCCTCCTTGCCCTAAAAGGGAGATTATTTCTCTTGGTATTCTTCCCAAATCAATAAATTTATTCAGCCCATCTGCTCCGACTTTAGCATGTTCTCCTTTAATTTGCAACTATTTGTTAAAACACCAGAAGTGTAATTCCAGAAATGCTACAGGTGGAAGAGATACTTCACATAAAAAAACATGAAAATCAATGAAGGCAACATTTGAATAGTTTAAAAACAAGGTTTACCTTGTTAACCCAAACCAGGGCAAGCAGAGGGCTGACAGATGGTGGTGGCACAAGGGACTCAGGGGTGTGGGGTGCAGGCAGGAGGAGCAGGCAGATGGGTGCTGGGATCACAGGGCCACCACAAGGACACAGGCTTGGCCAACAAGAATCACAGAATCAAACTGCAGGATTGGAAGGGACCTCTGGAGATCGTCTAGTCCAACCCCCTGCTAGAACAGGTCCCCAAGAATACCAAAGCCCAACACCAGCAGCAATCCCTGTGAACTCACCTCGATGGAGCAAGCACTCAGTTGATGGGCATGCAGAGGGGCTCTGCTTGGATGCTGAGGAGTGGGATGTGCCCTCATGTGATGCCTGAGGTGGGGAGATCATCTTCACACCAAGCTAAAATAATCTCATTGGTGGGTGAGGGAAAGCTTCTTCAAGCTCCCTTTGTGATATCGTTTGTTCAAGAGGCATCTGGATGAGGTGCTACGAGATCCGGTTTAGTAGCTTAGTGGTAGTAATGGTGATGGGAGGATGATTGGACTTGATGATCTTGTAGGTCCTTTCCAACCTTGTGATTCTATGATTCTATGATTGAACTTAATACATTTCTCATTGAAAAGTTAAATCACTGTGAAGTAAAGAAAAATCATTACAACTGTGTTATCTGTTGGAGAGCATTAATGGCATTGTTGGTTTACTGATGACTTTGGACACACGTGGGCAGAGGGCAGAGCCTTGGAGAGCACTGCTGGTGTGTCAGTGCCCCCCCGCCAGCCACATGTGTGGGCATTTGCCCATTCTCCAGGGTTTGTATCAGTGGGGTTGTGGATGCCCCATCCCTGCAGGCATTCAAGGCCAGGCTGGATGTGGCTCTGGGCAGCCTGGGCTGCTGGTTGGTGACCTGCACACAGCAGGGCTTGGAGCTGGATGAGCACTGTGCTCCTGTGCAACCCAGGGCATGCTGTGATCCTGTGATCAGAGTGCAAGCTGTGCCCTTTGCTGCAGCTCTCCTTAGGATCAGCTTCCCAGAGTGGCTCACCAGTTTGCTTTATAACCTTTCATGCTTACTTGTGAGCACAGAACATGTCCCTTTGTTTTAAGGGGTGGCTGCAGCTCCCCACAACCAGCCCATCAGCTCTTCAGTGCAGGAGGCTCAATTACACCTTAAGAGCAGAACAGCAAACTGTTAACTAATTCCAGCAAAGCACTGCGGCTGGGGCTCATTCATAATTTAATTCCAGAATTCCGATGCTAAAATGTTCTTAATGCAAAATTAAAGGTCCCTTTTTAATAATGCCATCAATATTTTGAAGCTTTGGAACTTGGTATTTTGATGCCATTCAGCAAGAGAAACGGCTGCGTTCCCAAAGGCAGTTTGAGCTCACTTTTTGCCCTCTGATGGATTCTTATATCTGTTCCCAAGCCTGGCTGCCCCAGCACCAACCGATCCCTCTGCAGGGCCCTCCATCAATACCACATTTACCTCAATTTCTTCCCAAGCGTTGTTGGCTTTCCAACATTACACAGCTCTTACATTAAAAGAAGATAATGGTTGGATACATTTCTCATTACATTCCTGAGATCTGTTTTTCTGCAGAGGATCTGAAAGCCTTTGTCTCTTCCATTATCATTTTTTATTACAATGCTTAGTGAATTTTACTTATGCATTTAACTTCATTGAGTTGGCAAAGTCACCAGCTGCTGAGAACTGATAGAAAGGCCAAAAGGGAAGCCATGCCCATCACGGGTCTGCTTTGCTTCATTTCTGGTGTCTCCCATTGGATTGCATTCCATCACAACATGCTGATTAGACTTACTGCACTCTATTAACTCTTATTCACCATAAAGGTTCCCAAATCTTTTCACATTGTGGAATCTGCACAGGAAAGGTGAACTTCAGAGGTTTATTTCAGAGCTCAGGAGAGATTTTTGAGGCTCAACTACACGGCATCCCTGGGACCAAGGCTGGGGAGCATTGTTTCACATCTGCCATCACTGCTGCAGGTCATAGAGTCACAGAATGGTTTGGGTTGGAAGGGGCCCTTCAAGGCCCTCTGGTCCCACTGCCTGCAGTGCACAGGGCACCCACAGCTCCATCCGTGCTCACAGCCCATCCCCTGACCTCTGCTGTCTGCAGGGATGGGGCAGCACCGCCTCTCTAGGCAGCCTCTATGGTCACACCTGTCTCTGGTTGTGTCCCAGGACAGCAGGAATGTGTTGGGCAGGAGCTATGAGCAGCAGGTGGGCAGCCTGCATGTTGCTGAGGGGCAACTAATATCTATCACTCTCAGTGATGGAATATCTATCACTCTTAGTGTGACAAATACCTCAAAATAATCATTATTATGCAAAACATGCCATTTCAAGAGGCAAAGTAAGGGAATAAGTTGGAAGCACGAGTTTAGGGACTGGAGCTTAGGCATGAAATGGAATTGCAGAACCACATAATGCCGTGTGCTGGGCTGGGCAGGAAGATCTGTGCTGCAGGACACCGGCTGGCACAGCCCTGGCTCTGCAGGCAGAGGGTTGCACAGGGATGTCCTACTGCTCAGGGCACTGAGAGAGCTTCAGATGTAAAACAATCAGTGCAATTAAATGTGAAAAATTCAATAAAGCAGCATGTATAACCAAGCAAAGCACACAGGCATCCGCACTGCTGTGCTTAGCTCCTTGCTTGCTTTTGCTTAATATTTGAGCAAACAATGAAAAGGAGATCAAAATATGCACTTTGATGCAAAGGGGAATGGTTTTAAAGTGAGACAGGGGAGGTTTGGGTTGGATATGAGGAGGAAGTTTTTCAGCCAGAGGGTGGTGAGGCACTGGCACAGGTTGCCCAAGGAGGCTGTGGATGCCCCATCCCTGCAGGCATTCAAGGCCAGGCTGGATGTGGCTCTGGGCAGCCTGGGCTGCTGGTTGGCGACCTGCACACAGCAGGGCTTGGAGCTGGATGAGCGCTGTGCTCCTTTGCAACCCAGGCCATTCTAGGATTCTACAATTGCCATAACTGCATTATAAAACTGAAGATGTTTTAATCAATACAATCTCGTGGCTTTGGGCCAAAGATTGCCCCTGCTTTAACCTGGTGTGAAAGGGAGAGTTAGTTCAGGGCTGTTTGTACAGGAATGTTTGTGCACTGTGACCCCCTCAGGGCACACAGCCCTCCATGTCACCCCCATTCTCAGAGCACCGCAAACAGAACCTGCTCTGCTCCAAGGCCTCTGCAGCCCAATTAGGACAAAACCAGCAACAAGAGCAGAGTGCCAACCAGCCTGCAATAAGAGCCCTTTGTGTCTGAAGAGCACTGGGCTGCTGTGCTGATGTGTGGCAGCAGGAAGCGTGGAGGTAGAGACAGATGGAGTTTAGAAATAAGAGTATCAGGAAACAAAAAAAAAAAAAAAAAAGGAAAGAAAAACGACTAAAATAATGAACAACCCACACTGCCAGTTCTGCTGGGTAGAAATTCAGCAGGTAACACCACGCCTCCAAAGTGACCTGCATTCTGCCAAAACAAAAAGGGGGAAAAAAAAGACAGGAGCTATTAAAATAACTGTAAATTTTCCTCCCAGCTGATCATCTGCCTGCATCACACTGCAGCCAAAGGGCCAGCATCAGCTCTGCTCTACCCAATGGTCCTCCACCCACAGCCACCTCAGGTCACCTCACTGCCAACAGACACTCAGCTTTGATGTCTCTCTGATGTCCCACTGATGCAGACACGGATGGTACCCCTGCAGCACGTGTTGCCTTTCTCCTCTTCCACACATTTCATTGCACCACTTCTTTTCTCCCTTGGCACTGCTTACATTCATTCCTGCTCTGCCCAGCTGTCACCTTGGGATGAAGTCACCGGGGTTGTCACCTGCTGGCCAGCAGGAGCTGCATTGCCAACTGGGTTTTGGTTTTCCTTCTGTATTCATGACATAGAAACTCTGTATGGGAACTGCTGAGTCACAGCCTGAACCTCTGATTGACCACCTGAGGCGAGCCATGAGCCAGCCAGAGGAGTACAGGTGAAGGCAATTCAGCTGTGCTGCCAGAAGGGGGGTGGAGCCAGGTTCCACCCCTCCTAGACCTATTTAAGAGCTGGCTACCAGTGGGGAAGGATCTTATCTGGAGATCCCTCCTTCTGGTGTTCTGTGGTGAGCCTAGCATAAGGGTAAGCCTTCCATTTGTTCTCTTTTGTTATCATAGTCCACTTTGCCTAACTCTCTTGTTTATTTTGTGATTGTAACATCTTGATATCTATTGATTATACAAGCTCCCAAGCGTCAGTCTGGCAACAGCCGCGATGGTGACCAGAGACTGACAAGTGAACACCAAAAGTCATCACCAAGTGCAACTGAGTAATATGACTAGAGAAAAGTTCTGAGCAGGGATCTCACTTCTCCAGCATCCAGCCAATAGGTGCAGATGGAATGAATTCAGCACGCTGGCTGCCACCTCACTTGTCACCTCCTCTGCTACCAGGTGACAGCAGCTCACCTTCCACCCACGAACTCGGCTGC